CCAGAGCCAAGAGCCTAGGGCTTAGGGTTTAGGGCTTAGGGTTTAGGGTTTAGGGTTTGGCGCGGCCCAGAGCCAAGAACCTAGGGCTTAGGGTTTAGGGTTTAGGGTTTAGGGTTTAGGGTTTAGGGTTTACCTGAAAGCGCGCCCCACCAAGTGAAAACGAAGTGAGTCCCCACCAGCGGACTGGCCATTAGGGTTTTGTTGAAGGGCAAAAGAAAAAGAGAAAAAAAACAAAAAGAGAAAAACCCAAACCCTAAATAAGCGACAAAGAGCTGCTCGTTCAGCGGCGGCTGCAGCTGCTGCAGCACCGGCAGCTTCCGCGGCACCTGGTACGAACCTGCACGCAAACCCTAAACCCTAAACCCTAAACCCTAAACCCTAAACCCTAAACCCTAAACCCTAAACAGCGAAGCCTGAAGTCTCAACAGTAAAGCCAGAACGTTGAAGCCTAGACGGGAGGTTCTGCCTCTAGGCGCGCCGCCGGGGACTTGCTAAACCCTAAACCCTAAACCCCAAACTCTAAACCCTAAACCCTAAACCCTAGGGTCTGAGCGCTGAACCTTAAACCCTGAACCCTTAAAGAGCTCCAGCCCAACGTGGGGATCCCAAGCGCTTCATGAACCCTAAACCCTAAACCCTAAACCCTAAACCCTAAACCCTAAACCCTAAACCCTAAACCCTGAATATCAAAGCAAACAATCCTACACCCTCAGTCACAGCCCACTGGCCGAACGCCGTAAACCCTAAACCCTAAGCCCTCTGTCCTTAACCCTCAACTCTAACCCCCAAACCCTAAACCCTAGACCCTAAACCCTAGACCCCAAACCCTAAACCCTTAACTGTAAGAACACTCCTGGGGGCCCCAAAGGCATTTTAAAGGCAGCTGGGGAGCCTTGGGGCCCCCAGGGGCCCCCCAGAGGCTTTTAAGTGTTGGGGGGCCCAGGAGAGTTCGCTCGCCACTAGGGTTTAGGGTTTAGGGTTTAGGGTTTAGGGTTTGGGGATTAGGGTCTAGGGTTTAGGCCGCGAGGGTGGTCAGATGGCTTCGTGATGGTTTCGCTTGGTTGGTCTTCAGGCTTCAGCGGCGAGGGTTTAGGGTTTAGGGTTTAGGGTTTAGGGTTTACCTGTGAAGAGAGCCGCGAGGAAGGCGAAGAGGAGGCCGAGACACTTCTGGTCCTCCATCTTGCCGCAGAGGACAAGGTGTAGGGTTTAGGGTTTAGGGTTTAGGGTTTAGAGTTGAGGGTTTAGGGGGCTCGGGGGCCCCCCAAATCGCCGAGGGTTTCCGCTGGCGGCTGCGGCTGGGGCGTCGGCGCTGGCGGGCTCAGTAGGCAAATAAATCTCCTTTTAAAATAAAAAAAAAGAGAAATTTGATTTATTTTTGTTGAATTTAATTTAATTAGACGAAAAAAGAAAGAAAATCTCCGGAAGAAACCCGCGAAGCCAAACAGCCAGCGAAGCCGTGCCTTGAGGGTTGAAGGCTTATCGGGGGCCCCCGGGGGCCCCCGAGGCCCCAAACCCTCCTTATTTATATTTGAAATTTTTGTTTTATTTCATTCTTTTATTTCTTTATTTATATCTAAAAATAAAATAAAGAGAAGAAGACCAATATGCAGCGCTAACCCGGGATTCACAGACACCGGTTAGCTGCTGGTGCTGCTGCTGGTGCTGCTGCTGGTGCTGCTGCTGCTGCTGCTGCTGTTGCTGCTGCTGCTGCTGCTGCAGTGTCTAACGAAAGTTGCTGTGCCTTGGGCCAGGACTTTCTTCTTCCTCTTAAAAGCTGCCCATGGAAATGTTCAAAGACAGCTTTGCTGCTGCTGCTGCTGCTGCTGCTGCCGCTGCTGCTGCTGCTGCCGCTGCTGTTGTTGAAGAAGACTCCGCTGCTGCAGCTGTTGTTGCTGCTGCTGCCGCGAGCGTTGCTGCTGCTGCCCCCGCTGCTGCTGCTGCTGCTGCTGCTGCTGCGCCCACTGGCCCTGATCTCTTTTGCTGCTGCGTCTATTTCTTTGTTTTTCTCCAATTCTATTTCCTTAATAAACCCCAGACTTCTTTTAATTCTTTTAATTCTATTATTTGACTATTTGTTCACCCCTTTCCTGGAGGCGCTAATAGCAAACAAATGGCAGAAACAAAACCCTAAAGAACCCAACGGGGGCCCCCAGGGGCCCCCGGGGGCCCCCGGGGGCCCCCAGGGGCCCCCAGGGGCCCCCGCGGGGTCCCAGGGGCCCCCTTGGGAGCCCCTTGGGGGCCCCCTAGGGGCCCTTTAACTTGTACCCTTTTAAGGGTAGCAAGGGGGCCCCCAGGGGCCCCCAGTGGCCCCAGCAGGGTACCTTTCTAAGAATGCCCTAGGGGGCCCCCTGAGGGGCTTCTTCAGACCCTCTGGGGGGCCCCCCTAGCGGCGCTTTTAGACTCTTTTGATGGCCCCTTAGAGGCCCCTAAAGGGCCCCTAAGGGGCCCTCAAGGGGGCCCCCAGGTGGCCCCTGAAGGGCCCCCTAAGGGGCCCCTAAGGGGGCCCCCAAGGGGCCCCTAAGGGGGCCTCCTAGGGGCCCCTAGGGGCCCCTAGGGGGCCCCTAGGGGGCTCCTAGGGGGCCCTCTGTGGCTAAAGTGAGGCCAACAGCAGCCCTTAAAAAGGACCCTAAAGGGCCCCTAACAGCTTCCCCGGGGGCCCCCTAAAAGGCGGCAAGAGGGGCCCCCTAGGGGCCCCCTGGGGGCCCCTAGGGGGCCCCCTGGGGGCCCCTAGGGGCCCCTTTATTCAACTGTCTGCTGCGTTGTGGGGGGCCCCCCACTTGCTTCTTATTTTCTGTAAGGCAGCAAGTGTAGCAGCACACTGGAGCTCTACCCCGTTGGCTCCTGCTGCTGCTGCTGCTGTTGCTGCTGCTGCTGCTGCTGAGGCGCAGTTTGCTGCTGCTGCTGCAGCAGACGGCTCGCTGAAGCGCAAGCCTCCAGCTGGAACGAACGCCCCTGACAAGGCACTCCTGTTGCTGCTGCTGCCGCTCCTGCTGCTGCTGCTGCTGCTGCTGCTGCTGCTGCTGCTGCTGGGGTTGGCTTGCTTGCACCACTCCTGTAATCCAGCTCCCAGCTTTATTTGGGGGCCCCCTAGAAGGTGTGCATTGAAGGCACGCTGCTGCTGCTGCTGCTGCTGCTGCTGCTGCTGCTGCTGGTCGCCTCTTGCGTGTTCATCAGCATTAGAAGCAGCAGCAGCAGCAGCAGCAGCAAGGCGCAAGTGCCGCAGCACGCAAGAGGGCACGGGGGCCCCTCGCTGCTGCAGCGCAGCAGCAAAAGCTGCCAGAGTTTCCCCAAGGACGCCGCGGCAAGAAGACGGCGGCAGCGCAACACAGCAGCAGCAGCAGCAGCAGCTGCTGCAGCTGCTGCTGCTGCTGCTGCTGCTGCTGCTGTGGGAGTCGCTTGTGGCGCAGCAGCTGCAGCAGCAACTGCTGTCGCTGCAGCAGGGAGGTGCCGTTTGCAAGGAAGCTGCTGTCGTCGCTGCTGTTGCTGCTGCTACCCCGTCTCCTTGCTGCTGCTGCTGCTGCTGCTGCTGCTGCTGCTGCAGGTGGAAGCAGCAATGGGGGACAGACACGGGACTGAGTTCTTCGCTGTCAGACGCGGGCGGAGCTTCTTGCCGCAGCAGCTGCAGCAGCAAAGGCACTCCTTTGCTGCTGCTCAAAGGAGAAGCCTCCCCGCCAAGCTGCGCAGTCGCTGCTGCTGCTGCTGCTGCTGCTGCTGCTGCTGCTGCTGCTGCTGCTGCTGTTTGCTCCTGCGGCGCGCTATCCGGTGAGGGGCCCTCATTTGAAAGAGGGCTTCCAGCAGTTGTGTCTTCGGCCTCTCGGCGCTGCGGCTGTTGCTGCTGCTGCTGCAGCAGGAAGCCTTCCTGCTGCTGCTGCTGCCGCTGCTGCTCCTCGCGCTGTTGCTGCTGCTGTCGCTGCAGTCTTTCCTCCAGCAGCAGCAGTTCTTCTTGCTGGTGCTGCTGCTGCAGCAGCAAATCCTGCTGCATCTGCTGCTGCTTCCTTGCAGCAGCTAGCCGCTGCCGCCTCCTCTCCTCCAGAGTGCTGCTGCTCTGGGGGGCCCCCCGGGGGCCCTTCGTCTGCAGGTTCGTAGAGAAGCAGCAGGCAGCTCCAGCACTGCAGCAAACAGTCAACAGCAGCAGCAACTAGCTGCTGGCGCTGCTGCCACTTGCTGCTGCTGCTGCTGCTGCTGCTGCTGCTGCAGCAGGGCCACAGACACTCGCTGATCTCTAGGGAGCTGGCTGCGCCAAGAGGGCTAGTGGCGGTTTCTGAACTTGCTGCTGTTGCTGCTGCGGTTGCTGTTGCTGCTTCTGCAGTTGCTGCTGCTGCTGCTGCTGCTGCTGTTTCTGTGGGAACATCTTCTAGTGTACACCTCGCTAGGCCAGCAGCAAGAGCTGCAACACACTGCAGCAAGACCCGCTGTATGCGCTGCATGCGTTTCGAGCGCTGCTGCTGCTGCTGCTGCTGCAGCTGCTGCTGTAGCTGCTGCTGTTGCAGCTGCTGCTGTTGCAGCCGCCGCAGCAGCTGTGGCAGCAAGTGCTGCTGCAGCAAATGCAGCACTGCTGCAGTGTACTGCGTCTCCAGGGCCCCCAACAGCAACAGCCAGTGCCAAGCGGGGCCTCCCGCTAAGTGCGCTAGTTGCGCTGCTGCTGCTGCTGTTCCTGCTGCTGCTGCTGTTCCTGCTGCTGCTGCTGTTCCTGCTGCTGCTGCTGCTGCAATGGAAGGCTCCGCGTGCGCACTACAGGCTGCTGCTGCTGCTGCTGCTGCTAAGAAGCAAAATTGCAAATGCGCCAAGGAAAGGGAAGTGCTAACAAGCTCTATAGGTGATGCTCGAGGGACCCAACACCTGCTGCTGCTGCCGCTGCTGCTGCTGCTGCTGCTGCTGCTGCTGCTGCTGCTGCTGCAGGAAGGCATGCTGCTACCTGGGCGGTTGCTGCCGCTGTCTGAGGCGCGATGGCCGCTGGCAGAAGAACTCCAGCGTTGCGGATGCAGCAGTAAGTTGCTGCT